AGGACGGATGATCCCTTCAGGACCAGTGGTGAGAGTGGCGATACCAGGAGAGTGGAGGGAAGGTGGGGCAGAAAGCGAGAACAAGGATCTACATATAACCTCCTCCCTGGGGGATGGACAACAGAAAAGTGGGTGAAGGGAGACGTCGGACAGGACAAGGTATGACAAAACAATAATTTATAAATTATTAAGGGTTCATGAGGGAGGGGGGAAATGAGCTGATGCTAGGGGCTTAAGTGGAGAGCAAATGTTTTGAGAATGATGAGGGCAATGAATGTACAAATGTGCTTTACACAATTGTATGTATGGATTGTGATAAGTTGTATAAGCCCCTAATACAATGATTAAAAAAAAAAACTGAGGTGCTGTTAGACATCCAAACAGATGACTTTGAAAAATGTTTTCAATAATGCAATAGCAGATTTCACAAATGCATTAAGTGTAATGGAGAATACTTTGAAGGTGATAAGATTTGTTTTGTAAAAAAAAAAAAATTATATAGCTTTAAAAAAAAAGGCGAGACTTACTTAACAGATGATGGGCACAAAGTTCCAGAATTTACCTTCAGAATCACATTTGGCCTGGACAAGCACATAAAGGGCACAGGCACAGAAATAGGCACCTGCAGGGACATGGGCGGCAGGCTGTGTGAGGGAAGAGTGCACCCCTGGTTTTACCTCAACAGAAGAGCACCACTTAAGCCTGTTTTATATTTTGAGAGTCAATATAAGAGCATGTTTTCAAAAAGTGTTGTATCTTTTTTAAAAATCATTTTATTAGGGGCTCGTACAACTCTTACCACAATCCATACATACATCAATTGTGTAAAGCACATTTGTACATTCATTACCCTCATCCTTCTCAAAAAGTGTTGTATCTTTTGAAAATAAAAAGCCTTGAAATCCAATGCTAGAGAGGGGTTGTTCAGGGCCTGGGGCTTTTTCATACACATTTGGCTAAATTTGGAATCTCTCGTGCCCTCCGCACCCCTCTCCCCCAAAATAAATCTAGGGTGACTCTCCCCACTCAAGAAGACTTGCTTAGCTCATTTATAAATATGAGTGGGAAGCATTTGCTCATTCCCAACATGGAAGAGAGAACTATGCCCTGGAGCTACGCTGCGTTATATTTAACCTGGGAACAAATAGCCTAGTGTTATCTGTTTCTCCTTCTAAGATCATTTCTAGAAAATGCAAGCTATTCATACTCCCATGTAGTAGACCTTAACTCTGAAGGGCCCTGGGTCCCAACAACTCTGTCTTGGACGTACAGCGGAGTGCTCCTGAGCAGCAAGGATGGCAATGGCAAGACTGAGTCTCATCCTTTAGACTTGTCATCAGGTGCCGCCAGTTCTGGACAAGGACACTTGCTTGTTAAAGTCGATGGGGGAAAAAGAGGAAGACCTTCAATGACATGAACTGACACAGTGGCTCCAACATAGCAGTGATTGTGAGGATGGCATAGGACCGGGCAATGTTTCATTCTGTTGAACATGGGCACCGAACAACAACAATCACTTTGATGGATACATTTCTGTGTAATTTTAGGGGATTCATTAGCCAACCTTTCCCCAAGCCATTCTATGAACTCTGAGTTAATTGCAACTTGCACCCAACAGCACTTATGTGGTGGTACGGTGTTTTCTAACAAGATATACTTGGAAAGGGACACCATGATGTACACTGCAAAAATCAAGCAGATTTAAGTCCTGCCTCTGAATCATTTAAAATAAAACAAAACAAAAATGTCCTTTGAACGTGATTTTCTTCATTTGAAGAAGGGGGGTTGTGTTACACATTTGTCAGTGGTCTGAAAACCCAATATGTCTCAAAACCCGATACACAATCTGTTCACAAGGAATGCAGTCTGTGCAGCTGTGTATTCATCAGCCTGATGGGGACTTGGCTTGGCCTGCAGCTTGGCCACTGTGTGGGCAGCTGTCCTTAAGTCCAACCGAAGCACAGCCCCTTTGGGGACCTAGCCCAGGACCTGCCTCACATTACTGGTCTTTAACAAATCCTCAGTGGGGAGATGTTGAGCCAGTCCTCCCTGCTGGTTTCGTTCCCAACTGTGTTGGTGAGACTTAGTGACCTTCAGCTTGGTTCGCTAAGTGTCCCCTTCAACGAGGGGAAAGACATTGCCCTCCTAATAGCAAAATGAGACACAAAGGAACCTTGGACTTTTTTCTTCTTTTTTTAATCTTTCATTAGTGACATCCAGATAAGCCCTGACTCTCTGTACCAGAGAGATGCACCTAATACATCTCTCTGAGGTTAGTTTCATTTCCTACTCTGCTCCCCGATGTCTGCAACTTCCAGGGAGAGGAGTCTACAATTCGGAAGCAATAGGCTTGGCATTAGCACGGTGGTCACCTCGGGCCAGTGTGGGGAGAGAATGGAAGTGGTTGTTCTTGTCAGGAGAGATGGCCAGAGGGTAGGAGACAGAATGGTTCACCATGGGAGGGAGGTTGCACAGGGATGAAGCAAAGGGCACCTCCTCAAAGACCGTTATGGGGAGTGAGGCGCTGGCCTGAGGCTGCGGCCTTGGGGTGGGCAGGGGATAGTGTATCAGCTGCAGTGCAGGTTTCAGGGTGATGGGGACCTCAACTTTGGGGCTACTGTCTTGGACAGCATGGGTCCTGCCTTCGGGAACATCCAACTCCCACAGAGGATCTGGGTTTGGGGCCTCAGTCTCAGTCTTGGTGACAGCAGGGGGAGGGCCCATGTTGATGGCTGCATTCATGCCATACTGCCGTCGCTTATTAATCCAGTACAACAGCGGGCTATAGGTGAACGTAGCCGTTCTCATCACATCCACCCACTCCTGGGCACGCTCTTCTCGCCGCAAGTTCTTGCGCCAGTGCAGAAAGAGAATGCAGCCGCCAGCTAGCACAGAGCACAGCCCCAGGAATCCAAAATACAGGGAGATCCACACTGAGTAAGAACACATAAACAAAGCAGGCTGGCTGATTGGCTTAGAGCATAAGCGCTTTCCTATTTCTCGCCCATTCGTGAATCACTCCATCCTCTTACCCACCCTTTCTTTTACCTCATCATTATTTAAATCAATAAGTTGATAATGTATTGATTTAAAATAATAAATCTAACTTTCTAGATGTTTACAGAGCTTAGATAAAGAAAGGGAGGTCTCGATGGGGCATGACCTGTCTAGGCTCAGACAAGCAAATTTCTGGTTCCCAAACCCCAAAATGAAGGGGAAAAAAGAAAGAACAAAAATTCTACCATCAAGTCAGTTCTGACTCATAGTGACCCTACAGGACGGAGAAAACTGCCCCTGTGGGTTTCCAAGGCTGTAACTCTTCATGGGAGTAGAAAACCTCATGTTCCTCCTGCAAAGAAGCTGGTGATTTTGAACTGCTGACCTTATGGTTACTAGCCCAACCCATAACCACTACACCGCCAGGGTTCACCCAATCCATTGCACTGAGGACCCTCACTGAAGGCAAGGCTCATCAAGGAGGTGAGAGTTCACCAGTAGTTGGAGGTACCCATCTTTCATCGCATTCCCCCATACCCCTTAACCATTCTAGCTGTGATGGACCTGGGGTGCCCCCTCTGGTTGGGAAGAGAAACGCAGACTCTGCCCTCAAGAAATTCTGCGTGTTCTGGAGGAGACCAACTGCTCATCACCCCTCCATCCAGGCAGCTACCATCCCACCCATGCAAAGGGTCTTTCCTAAGTGTTCCTAAACCCAAGGGCACAAGACAAGGGGCAGGGATTAGAGGAGCATTTACCGCCAGGCAGGCTCAGATCCTCCTCTGGGGGATCCATGAGTTGAGCATTGATACCAACTGGTTACTCTAAGGAGAAAGAATTTACCCACTTGCCCATGTCGAGCCAATGGGACACCCCAGAATGTCCAGCCCATTGTTCCCTAAGGGAGAGGTCACTGGGTTCTAAGCACTGAGCATTCCAGGGGGCAGTGCTTATGGAGGAGTCCTGGGCTAGTGAAAGGAAGGGGCTTCATTCAGTATGGTCTTAGGGGTCTAGTATTTCTCTAACAGACTGACTCACCAGTTAATTGCCTGGATCAATCCACAAAGCAGTCCCCCCCCAGGAAAGGGCCCCACGTCCCTCTGGGGCTTAGCGGTGTACCTAGTCTTCAGGACGGAGATCATGGATACCTCCGTGACAGGAGTGGGGCAGGAAGCACACAGTGTTGAGTCCCTGCCCTCCTGAAGTCGACGGCCAAGTTGTCAGGAAAAATTCTGCTCAAGAGAGCAAAGTAATCCCCTCCTTCCTGGGTTCCTCCAGTCTCTCTCTTGGATAGTTACCTTCCTTTTTTTTTTTTTTTTAAATCATTTTATTGGGGGTTCGTACAATTCTTAGCACAATCCATCCATACACCCATTGTGTTAAGCACATTTGTACATTTGTTGCCATCATCATTTTCAAAACCTTTGCCTTCTACTTAAGCCCTTGGTACCAACTCATTTTCCCCCCTCCCCACCCCCCTTCCTCATGAACCCTTGATAATTTATAAATTATTATTTTTTTCATGTCTTACACTGACCGATGTCTCCCTTGACCTACTTTTCTATTGTTCATCCCCCTGGGAGGGGGTTATATGTAGATCATTGTGATTGGTTCCCTCTTTCTCCCCCCCCTCCCCTTACCTTCCTAGCATCGCTACTTCAGCAAATGTTGACAGGTGTTTCCTAGGCATCGGGCCCTGTGGGAATGTCACCATCTGGCCCTTCATCCCTTTCCAGCCTCATCTGCTTCCCCCCTCTTCACACGCCTTTCTCTTCAGCCAGACCTGATTCCATCACAGATCTTACCCCTGTGAAGCCAGACTCACTCTGCTCCTTTGGCCAGGAGCGCCCCTCCTCACTGAACACTGACTTTTCTTTCGAGCTTAGCTCAACCCCCTACTCTGTGACAGTCACTTCAGTTCGTTTTAAGGGACCTTACGAGTTGGTTGTCTGGTCGAATTCCCAACAGATACTTGAGTAGTTGAGGTAGATACCCAACACAGTAGTAACTAATCCCTCTAGGACTCGCTTGGTCCCGAGAGACCTGAGGCAGTTTGATGTATTGCTGCGCAGCTCAGTTAGAAAACCGTTTCCTAGGCCCCATCAGGCTCCCTGCCGGATGCATTCTGCTTGGCCGTTTGTTGTTGTTGTTGCTGCTATTGTTGCTATTAGGTGTCATTGATTCCGTGACCTTTTTTGTACCACAGAAGAAAACACTGCCTGGTCCTGCGCCATCCTCGCAATTGTTTGTGTGTTTGAGCCCCTCTCGGTAGCCATTATAACGTCCATCTCCTTGAGGGTCTTCCTCTTTTTCACTGACCCTCGACCAAGATGATGTTCCTTTCCAGGGGCTGGCTTCTCCTGATAACCTGTGCAAAGGCTGTGAGACAGTTTCCCCCTCCTCACTTCTAAGAAGCATCTGGCTGGACTTTTTCCAAAACAGATTGGTTATTTCTCCTGGCGGTCCACAGCACTTTCAATGTTCTCCACCAACACCATAATTCAAGCGCATCAACTCTTCTCTCTTATTCACTGTCCAACTGTTATGTGAACATGAAGTGATTGAAAACGCCCTGGCTTGAGTCAGGTGCGCCTTCATCCTCAGAGTGACATCCTTGCTCTTCGATACTTTAAAAAGGTCTCGTGCAGCATATTTGATCACCAGAGTATGTCATTTTGATTTCTTGATTGCCACTTCCACGTGCATTCATTGTAGATCCGAGCCAAATGATACCGTTGACAACGCCAGCCTTTTCTTGAGGTTTTCTTCATGG